TGGGCATGTGTATTTGTAACAGTGTGTATCTTACTATATCCTTCCATTTTTTTATTTTCATGTACCAAAATAACTCTTTCAGACTACTGTGAGGTATTTACGTTTACCTACATTTTTATAGCTAACTTTAACAAAACAGAGTGACTCCTATTGGGTCAGCATAATTGCTTCTGCTGGGTCACCAGTTCTCATACATTCAACAAACTTTATCTCAGACCATTTCTACTATTTCTAGACAATAACAACAATATGTCAGGGGCATCTCAAACCAAGGTCACTATCCACTATCCTCCCATAACTTTCTGCCCTATCCTCCCATTCTCATTAACAAACTGCAGCTAGGCAGCTGTCTGGCCTTGTCTCACCAAGGCCTACGATTATTCCTAGCTGTGTGATGTTTGGTTTTCAGCTGGCAGTGGCTGAACAAACAAAAAAACTGACTGCAGTACTGTCAAGTTCTGGGGTACACATAGGAATGTCAAATTCTGGTGTAACAATGACAATACATTCAGACATCAGAGAACACACACAATAGACAATGTCTGGACTGTGGAGTTCATATTCTAAAAGACAGAAACAGATAAGATAGACTGCCCGGAGAGCCCAGATGTTGACACAATATTTTTGTTCACTTTATAACTCCCCTTCTAACTTCTAAAATGTTAGGTGAGTGGAAGATGATTGACTGATCTGGGGGAGATTTCGAGGGCCACGTGAATCATATAGTGGAGTTTGAGGGCTTTGCAAACTAAGATTGGGATTGCAAGGAGGAGGAAATGAAGAGGTTGTGGATACTGGCAAGGATGGACCGAAGAAGGCAAGGAATGATACACGAAACAGCTCTAGACAGGTGGAAAGAAAATTAATCCAAATGCTTCCCTGAAAACAAAATCATTGTGGCCTCAAAATCCATAAGGATATGTCTACACTACAGTGTTATTTCAAAATATCTTATTTCGAAATAGCTTATTTTGAAATAACATGTCTAGACACAAAATGCATTTCAAAATAGCATTTTGCTATTTCGAAATAGTGAGTCTACACTGATAGGATGCTGAATCACATTTAAGGCCATCTGGAACTGGTTCTGGCAGGGCATCAGGTCAGGAGTTACCTTGTGTGGCTGCTGCCTGAGGCTATCTGAGACCTGTGCTTAAAGGGAACCCCTCCCTCCTCCTTCCCCCGGACAGCTGGTTCTAAGGTTTCCGTGCTTGCTTGCCTACCTTGCTGAGGGACAGCAAAGCATTTTTTTCTTTACATGCTCTGGTTGCCCTCACTCAGGACACCACAGGACTCTGCAGCATGGAGCTGGAGCCGCCCCTGGGCACTCTGGTGCTTCTCCTGGACGTGTTGCTGTGAGCCTAGCAGCACGTTCTACAGGCAGTAACAGTCTCCCTGGTGTGCCCCACTGGGGGCTTGTGCCTCATTCCTCCCTCAGGTCCTTCCACTTACGCCTCCCTAACCCCCCTTCCTGCTGTACAATAAAAGACACTTGTGTTCATTACAGCAAAGCCTCTTTATTGAACAAAACTGGGGTGGCCAGGGGGGAATGAAACTGAGGTGAGACTGGGGAAAGACGGTGGGAGAGGGGAAGAGGGAGGGTGGGAGAGGGGAGGGGGAAACTTGGTAGGAGGAAGCTGGCACGGGGAGGAAAGGGGAGGAGAATCTCAGGGCTCAGGGTTGGGAGTCTCGCCAGCCCAACTGTCTCCCAGCACTGCGAGTGCGGGGGCTGTGGCATCCAGGAGGAGGAGCGGTAGCTGGGGAGGCAGCAAGGGCTGGAGCAGCAGGAGGCAGCAAACTCTGCCCCAGGGTCGATAACCACCTGGGGGGCACGGATCGTCCTGCCCCCCCAGGATGCGGTCCATGGCATCAGAATAGGGGCAGGGGTCTGGGTCTGCCCCTGGTTGGGAGCTGCCCCCTGTGGCCTTCGCATATGCCTGCTGCAGCTCCTTTATTTTCATGTGAACCTCAACCTGCTCCTGGGTTTGCATGTGGCCTTTGGTGTCCAGGCTGGCAGCCATCCGCCGGTAGACGGCCATGTACCTCCATTTAGTGTGGAGATCATGGATGTTGGAAGCATCCTCTCAAACCTGAATTAGATTCCTGATCTCTGCACTGCACCAGGCAGGTGCCCACCTTTTCCATCCCCTGTCAGGCTCCTGGGAGCTGGCAGACTGGTCCTGGGGAGCGGTGGAGGGCTGGCTAGCACTGGCTGCCTGGCTCATGCTGGGGCCAGTGGGTCAGGTGCAGTGACTGCTGGCTCTGGGCTGGCAGCCTTGGAGCTGGCACAGGCACGGTGGCCAGAGTCTACCCCTTTAAGGGCTCCGGGGAGGAGGGGAGGGAGAGAAGTGTTCTTGGTTGTGCCCAGAGTAGCCACCAGGGCACCCGGGGAAAGGCTGGAGGCCCCCTATTTTGAAAATATAGTAGCCCAGTATCTGTGCATTTGTAACGCTGACGTACACGGCCACACTCCCTGGCCATGTACGTCAACGCCCCAGCCCCTACCCCTTCCCCTTCCGCCATGGCGCTTTGAGCCACTCAGTTGGGCCCCGGCACGGGAGCAAGTGGCAGCAAGCGGCTGTTTGGGCACATCTCAGTGCTGGGCACTCAGCTGGGCCGCCGCGGGGGAACCCAAACAATCCCCTGCAGCTGAGGGGTGCAGCACTCAGCGCCATGGCGGGAGGGAAAGGGGGGGGCAGTGACATACACGGCCACACCCCCTGGCCGTGTACGTCAGCACCCCGCCCCCTTTCCTCTCCAGCTGGGGCCCAGCTGAGTGGAAATAACTGTAGTTATTTCAAAATAAAGTTGCTGTGTAGACGTACCCTTACCATTACCTAGAAGAGCTCCTTCTGTCACTGTGAATACTACCTGAATTTACCTGAGATACAAGCATGGGATAGATCTGTGGGTTTAGATGAATATTCAGCACATTGGAAAATATATATATATTTTTAAATCAGAAGTTGTGGTGAGATATCAAAGGAGTGGAGTGAGATTCAGCTACAATGGGAGGAGGGTACCACTCTCATCAAGGAAATGGGACTATGACTGGGGAGGCCAAATTTAGTGTCAGTCCAAGATTTCATAGGTTGCACATTATTGACAACTGTGGTGAGTCCGACCAATTCTGATCAATGCCCTGAGCAATGCTCTAGATATAATTTTTCAGTGGAGTCTTTTGCACCTTGGGTTAAAGTGATATAGGCAAGGGCTGAATTTAGCATCAGATGCAAATTATATTAGGAACTGACAATGGAACAAGGACAAATCATGAAATTAATAGCTATGCATTATAGTTACCATGCTTCCGAGTTTAGCTAATATATATGTATAATGCCAAAGAGATTCTGGGTCCTTTTTCCTTTCATTGCAAGCTGTCTGTTTCCAAAAGACAGCAACACTTTGTAACCAAAAATGTCACCAAGAAGCAGTCTATTTGAACTCTTAACTTCTCAACTGAAAATCCAATTAGCATCCTAGAGCCCACAACATAAACACCGGCAGGTTATTTTCTGAGAACTTGTTGTACTAGTAATAGCTGATAGATTGTCATGTGTGTTAAGCAGGGTTGATATGAAAGGAAAACCTGAAAATGGACCCTGAATGAAAGGCTTACTGAGTGCTGGAGGTTACGAAGGTTTTGTGAAGAATGTTTATTACTTAAGAGTGGAATCTTTCAAAATGGCACAATTCATTACAACACAGTACATGTCATGCATTGTTTCAGCCCTCAGCTGCTAAGCAAACACAGTTCATAAGCACACAATACCCTTCACAGTAAGGAACATCAGATGGATAGTTTTCTATCATAATATTTTCATTATTCCATTTTGCCAAAAAGGAAAAAAAAACCATTGGCTCTGGCCACCATGGACCAATTTAGTAGTTTCTTTTTTTCTCCCCAAGAATACATGTTATGTAGCTTTTGAGGCTAGTGAAGCTATTCCAACAACTTTTGCTAGAAATCCCAAACATTTAGTTCAGAAGCGTTGTGTATCAGTTAACACAGAATTGTTTCTGATACCCTTTAGCCAAAATCCCACCCTGATCTGATTGGTCCTTTTGCTTTCCCCGCTTTTAGTGCCAAAAGTGGTTAATACTCTTATAGCTTGGATGCAGAAATAGGCATTGCAATGAATCCCTGTTATTACTTTCTCTCTGTGTTCATGGCTGAGATAGCAGTTTGTTACATTGGAATAAAAGCCACGTGCCATACAAATGGAAAGAAATGTATCTTGCATTGCATGCCTTAGATTTTTGCTGCACCTTGACTTTGAGGTGTGTGCTGTTGAATTTGACATGTCGGGAAATTGTGGCTGCTGATTTCACAGACAATTTCCCATTTCTGCTACATAAAAGGAAACAAACAATGAAACAAACAACAAGGAGGCATAAAAAAAATGTCGAAGGCAGCTGTGGGGGGTGACTTGGTGTAACAGTCATAATCATTAGAGCTATTTCCTTCATATCTTTCTTTTCAGGACAAAGTACATAGAGCTTGAATCAAATTTTGTGGTTATTTATTCCACTCTTTCATGAGGGAGGTAATTTATTTACTCTACAATGGGTTACTCTTACCTTTTCTTATACCATCTTATTTATATCTTCTAATATTTAATTAACTTGACATTTATTTTATACATGGAACTGTGTATTTCCCTTTGAAGGAAGTAAAGGGACTGATTCTAAGCAAGTATTCACTTCATTAGTATCAAATTATGTTTCTTTTTTTCTCCCCTTCACTGCATTCTTTAGTAAATTTAGCAAATCACTGGTAAACTCCCCAATGGGGGTCACCACACGAATCTCTGTTGCTTGCATTCAAACCCATTTTTGCTTCTAGCCCAGTCCTAAAGAATCTCCCTTGTGACCGAAGTACTCAGTTTGCCAGTGGCTTGTTCCACAAAAATGCTGATGTAAGCTTGTCTTTTCCTTGCTCCTTGCTTATTTCATGATAATTAATTAATTCATTTATTCCTATCTCTTCGCTCCTTCAGCTGCAAGTTGAAATCACCGATGTCAGCGGCAAAAGTATTGAAGGCCCAGTCCTTCTAGATATCATTGTTATTGATCAGAATGACAACAGACCCATCTTCAGGGAAGGACCATACATTGGACACATCATGGAAGGGTCACCTACAGGTATGTTGACTTCATTAATGTTTCTGTAAACCACTATCAGTTATAGGCCATGTACTGCCTTCTGATACCTGTACATTAGTTCCATTGCGGAAGGATTTGTGCTGACTCTGTGTATAGGTAATATTTTGAAGACCAGGACTTTCACAGGGTTCAAAAAAGAACTAGGTAAATTCATGGAGGCTAGGCCCAAATGGTGTCCTTATTTGTCACAGGCTGGGAATAGGTGACTGGGAAGGGATCGCTTGATGATTGCTTGTTCTGTTAATTTCTTCTGAGGCACCTGGCATTGGCCACTATCGGCAGACAGGATACTGTACTAGATGGGTCTTTCGTCTGACCCAGTATGACCATTCTTATATTCTCAGTCACTCTATCCAGCCTTTTCAGCAGAGTATAATTATCTCTGGGGACTAGTATACAGCAACCTGCTGTCAATCTAATCTATGTCACTTCAGCTACACAAATAGCGTAGCTAAAGTTGATGTACTTTCCACAGAATCCTGTGTGCAGTAAGGTCAGTGGGGGCTGCTCTCCCATTGATGGGAGACTGCTAGGAGACTGATTTATTGTGTCTGAGGCCAGGTCCACACTATAGCTGAAGGGTGGCTTAAGATACATAATTCCGGCTATATAAATACGTAGCTGGGGTTGACATACCTTAAGATGAACTTCAGCACCATCTTCAAAGCAGGAGCTTGATGGGAGAAATGCTCCTGTTGATTTCCCTTACAAGGGAGAGTTCCAGTGTTGATGGCGGAACCCTCAGCATTCTATATAGTGGGTCTTAACTAGACCTGCTAAATCAAACTCCAGAAGATCAACCTCCACAGCATTTATCTTCCAGGATGTGAAGACATGGCCTAAGCAGATGCGATAAATCAACAGCTGGTGGATTGATCACTGCAGCGCTGATCCCTGGTATAGTAGAAACAAGCCTTATGATGCTACAGGGAAACCCTAGAAACAGCATAGTTTGGGTAGAAAATTCAGGATGAGTTTTATGTTTTTTTGTTTTTATCTGAGTTATCCATAGAGACAAACCAGAGCAGGGGATTAAGGTTGGGTCTAAATACATCAAGTATTGATTTTTCAGTTCAGGTGGGAACTATAACTGTTCAAAGTCAGATAGGCTTCTGGCAGGATTTATTTGCTTGTGCAATTCCTGGGGTAGGTAAATATCAAGAATAAATAGAATGTGTATTGGAAAATGAACTAATATTTGAGGGCTTGTTGAGATAATGCAACATTGCATATATTTGAACACTGATAAAAAAATACACTGTGTAGGCAAAAGCCAGTATGAAATTTTTCTGAACATTTTCTAATGTAAATTTGGTGATGTTTATATGTGGTTCTGATGGTATTTTCTATAAATCTGGGGAGGAGGGTGTCTTAGAACAGATGCCCTTGCCAAATTCCAAATTAGATACCC